TGCTTTTACTACCCCTTGGGTTAATTGATTCTGATTTGTGATTGTTTCCATGTTTGTGTTAAGACTTTACTTATTACCTTACTCTTCACCTGTTTTCAAAACTATAAATACCCACCCTCTTTTCTTTCAAAGACACGAACCATCTGAGTTCAGAACACACACTTCACTCAAAACTCTTTTTTTTCTCTACTATTACTTGTGCTACTGCTTTGTCTAGCCAGCTGAAAGCCAAGGCTAGGTTGTGGAAATTTGCTTACTTTTCCTTTCTGCACTTTGCTTCTTACTGGTATGTCCTAGTTAATCTTCAAGCATCAACAACAACATGTTTCTTTAGCTGTTTCAGTTTCCTTCACTCTTGCATGCTTCTGCTTATGTTTATGCAATCAAGTTACGTTACTAAACATGCTGCAATCTGCTCCCTCCTCTTCTAAATTAATGTTTTCCCTTATGTATGTACTCTGTCAGTCACTTGTTATGTGATTTGCTGACTCATGAATCCCAAACTCCCATATCCCCCTATGTGTTTGTGCTCTCTAGCTAGTTTGTGGGCATGTCGGCATCATCTATTGATGTGCATGTCCAAACTTGACCCTTCCTAGGGTCATATGCTCCATGTTATGTATTCCTAAAACCCCTGGCCCCATTGTGCAATTACTGATTCTGTGTAGTTCAAGTTTTACTACTACTGTTTTCAAATCACCCTTGTCCCTTACTATTCTCACATAGTTTTAAATAAATCTCTGTATTCTGCACTTCCACTATATTCTTAGAACCTAGTTTCTGCCCTTCTTGTGTGAGCCTTGCCTTGGGACCCTTGAGCTTCCTCTGAACTTGGACACATAATAGCTGGCCCTTCCACACTACACTCATCTCTAGTTATGCAAACCTGGGTGTAAACACTGCCCGGGTTCCCTTGAAATCCTTAGGGAACTTTGACACACCCAGGTCTGAGAAAGGCTTTGAAACAAGTGGCTCTTGAGGTGGTTTATTCCATAACTCAGAGAGGAAGTCAAGAATCAGGCTTCCTATGGTTGTAACTTCTTACTTTACACTTTTCTGTTGTAATTCAGTACTTGATCTGTAATAATTTAACAAACATTGGGGGCTGGTTAGTAAAAGGGATGGGTAATTATGCATGTTTAGCTATTAAAAGGGTAGAGAACATGCCTATAAGATCTGTTCTGTTTTAATTCAAGTTCTGCATGCTCCACTTTTACGCAGATAGAGAACATGCCTATAGGATTTGTTTAATGAACTCTGCATGTTCTATTATCACACTAAGACACCATGCCTATAGGATCTAAATGGTTATAATCAGTCATTATATCTGCAAGGTTAAAATCAACTTTGAAATTGGATGTCATGTCTATAAAATTAAAATCAGTGTTTTTATAGAAATCATGCCTATAGGAATTTCACTGTAAATCCTGCCTGCTTCATTTCACGTTCAATTAGATACCATGCCTATAGAACCAAAATCAGTCTTTGATACTTAGATACCATGTCTATAGGATCTAAAACCAGTTTAATTAAAACCAGTTTGACTCGTATTATTCTGAATCAGTTTAAACAACCTACTCTTTTTATTAATATGGTTTAGAAAGCGTGCCTACAGGATCCAAATCGCTCGTTTAAAGCTGACACTGCTTTACTGCATTTCCTAATCAATAATGTTAAGGATAAGATTCAATAACATTACTTCTCTCATTTATTTTTAAGAATGAGATCAATGATGTTAGTCATTGTCTTAGACATCACCTTTGCAAATTAATGTTACTAGCTCAAAATTTTGCAATGATAACGTGAGATTCCTATGAAATACTACACGGTTCAACGTGAAATGCTAATTCAAAGAAGGCCCGGTACAATCTTTCGCAAAGAGAATCGATTCAGGTATGTTAAGACTAAGCTCTTCCTTCATTTTGCATGATCTCGTAATTACACGAGTTTGATAACGAGGCATAAAGAAAAATTCATATTCCGAAATTTACGTATCTTTTCCTAGTCTTGTAAGTGATAATATTCTCCTTATCGTGACTTCGTATTCAATTGAGTATTTCCTTCTTCCAGCCAAGAGAGCAGAGAGTTTATATATATAGTATTAAAGTATTTTCATTACCATCGAGCTATAATCGATAGGCATGCCCCTATTGGACAACCTCTGATCAGATGGTAAGTTATATACCGAGCCTACTATGGCCGAACGCCTATGAGCGAGCCCAGTTGGTCAAGATACAGAGCCTAGTATGGCCGAGCGCCTATGAGAGAGCCTACTACGGTAGAGCAGTTATATATATATATATATATACCGAGCCTTATAGGGCCGGACAACTATTTTACTTACTATATTGAGAGAGTTGAGTTAGTATCAGCAGGTAAGCATATCTTCAGATTATCTTTGACTTCCATCTACTTGCAGTTATTATATTATCAGTTCAGTTTCAGCTTTCAGTATATTACCTTACATACTCGGTACATTATTTCATACTGATGTCTCTTTTCTGGGGGCACTGCATTTCATGTATGCAGGTTCAGATAGACAGACGGCCTCCTCCTTAAGTGTTGCCCGAGTTCATCTTGATCGGTAAGCTCCATGCCTTTCGGAGTCACCGTGTCTAGAGCTTTATGTATATCTTGTGTAATATGTATATATGTTATGAGTAGGTCGGGGAGCTGTTCCGATCACAGTATATCCACCAGTAGAGGCTTGTAGACATATCTTGTCAGCTAGTGTAATATGTTGGGCTTGTAGGCCTTATATGTATATTTGGATGGTCTGTTAGCTGCAATAATTATAACGGCCTTGTCGCCCTAGCTTTATATTGATATTTAGTCAGCATTTGCAGTTATCTTGTAATGTGGCCCATGACCAAAGTATGACATCATATGTTCAGAGTCCCTTAGTTGCAAGTTAGTGCACAAGGATAGGTAAGGCACTGGGTACCGGTCTTGCCCCCTAGGTTCGGGGCGTGACACAAAGTTTCTTGCAACCAAACCCAATATTAGTCATTTAAAGAATGAATTTCAACCAAACGTCTCACATCCAAAACATTAGCTATTTTGAAAGCTTTCAACAAAGCTTCATTTCTCATGTTTTGAAAACCAAGTCACAATCAGAACATTAGAATGTTTATGATTCAAGCTTTTACAAGATATTAACAACGAGGTTCCTTGCAATCAAATTCTCCTACAAAGAATATTATACGGATTTTTCCCTATTCCAAGTATGTTAAGGCTACCCCTTCTTTCTTTTTGGCATGATCTATACGAACGAACGAAACGAGCAAATGCACAACTTCCATAAATTACTCTATTCGTAGAAATTCTAGAGATGTGTATATTCTTGTTTCTCCCATGTGTCATATTATTCTATCATCTGTTCATGGGTCTCAAAAATACGTAAGTTGGTAAAGTTTATTTCATGATATTAATCAGAGGCAAAATGGTCTTATGACGTACCGAGAGGTTTTATCAACTTATTTTCACGGGCATTTCATGCATTTACATATGCACTTTGACCCATGAACAGACGGCGTTATTTACGCATAAATATGTATATTATATTTGTATAGGATATGGGAAAAGGTTATGCCGTTATATACACAACACTACCTGATCAGTTGGTATACGTTGATGATTTTGCCCACAATGGCCGAGATGATATGATGGGATGCCCTCAGAGGCCTGATGATGTTATGTGACATGTACCTATGCACTACCTGACATTCATACGCATATGCATGACACTATAATTATTTCATGATTTACAGAGCTATCTAGACTTACAGGTTGAGTCAGTTACTCTATATTTCTTCCATGTCTGTTATGTACTTATGTATGTGCCTTACATACTCGGTACATTATTCGTACTGACGTCCCTTTTGCCTGGGGACGCTGCGTTTCATGCCCGCAAGTCCTGAAAGACAGGCCGAGAGTCCTCCAAGTAGGCTATCAACTCAGCGGAAGGTGTTGGTGCGCTCCATTTGCTCCGGAGTTGCTTATGTTGTCAGTATGATTAGGACATGTACTGATTAGTATGGCAGGACCCTATCCCGACCTTTATGACATTTATGTACTCTTAGAGGCTTGTAGACATATGTCATGTACGTGAAAGATTGTACGGCCTTGTCGGCCTATGTTTTAAGTTTATAAATGATCATGTTGGCATATTAGGCACGTATGTCACGTGTATATGATGATGTAATAAGAAAGATACATTACATTGGTACTCGGTTGAGTAAGGTACCGGGTGCCCGTCGCGGCCCAACAGTTTGGGTCGTGACAGAGAGAGAGAGAGAGAGAGAGCGAATTTTATATGTTGTATGTATTTTTTATGCAGACGATTGTATGTTTTATGTCTTCTTCTTCATCGTATGAATCTACACTGTATTTCATTGGATGAGAGAGAAAATACAGTCTGTTGGGCAAGCACATACAACCTATCGTGACTGTATGCGTTGATACAATAAAATCTATGTCTTCTTCTTCTTCTTCTTTATATGTTTCTATATTGTATTTTGTTGTATGAAATAGAAAATACAGTATGTTGAGCGAACACATACAACCTAATGTGATTATATGCGTTGATACATCAAAATTGAGCGAATACATACAACATATTATGACTGTATATAGCGCAACCGAATGTGTTGATACTACGAAATTAATCGAACGCATACAATCTATCGTCACTGTATCCAGTGCGACTCTATGTGTTGTACATCAAAACGAGAGAACGCATACAATAAAATTGACTAAATAAAATACTAGCTACGGACAATAATTAGGCAAACTATAATTACATATAATAATTAGGCTCTAAACTATAATATTTTATGAGTGTTCCTCTTCTTTTTTTTCCATGATGCTCCAAACATAATATCAACACTTAAAACTCGAATAGTAAAAAAAGAAGTACAAGGTCAAAAGTGCAAGTGAAGTGAAATATAATGACCGAAAGCATAAAGAGGACATATTTGCACGTTGAAGTTGTCAACCATGAAGTCTTTTGAGTAGAAAAAGAAGTTTGTCCAAAAAGTACCAGATCTATAGGGCAAAAGTACCATCTTTTAAGCGTATTTTAGGGGCAAGTCTACATTTGACTCTTTTCACTAGAGATCTCCAAATATCTATCAGTTCGTAACCCGATTTGCTTCCGCGGCTGCTCCCTTCTGCTCCGGCGCTAGCCATGTAAATGTATTACGGTAAACTGTTTGATCATGGAACCGCAATTTCTTTTGGTTGAGAATTGTTTTATTTTTTCTCTTGATAATAAAAAGTTTGGATTTTAATTTGTTTTTGGTTTGATTTAGCTTAAAACTTGGGTTTGGTTAATTTTTGGTTGCATTATTCCCATAAGGGCGAGCTTCATCATTCAATCAACTATGTCTAAATATTAAAGCTAGTTGTGATTGTTTTCATGAATCTAATACTCGGGCTCCTTTTATTTTAATGCTAACAATTTGTTTTATTGAGGCCGAGCTTGATGCTGGGTCCTAAACATTTGACTTGAACTGAGCTGGCTAAGGTTTAGGCTTGGGTCAGCTTGTGTGTATTGCGGCAGCTCTGAAAATGTTGATAGAAGTAGAGGTTCTGCTAAAATTTTACAGCTCAGTGTAAGAAAACCCACTTATAAGACTTGTTTTTACTTTCTCCAAAGATTATAGGTTCAAACTTTAGTAATCAAAAAAAAATGAAGTTTAAGGACCTCATTCCTTGATGTAAAGATTGGGAAGAGTGGAAATTTCTGGCTGGAAAAAACATACCATCACCAGATGTTTGCAACAATCGTAAATGAATGACATGTGCGACTGTGCATCTTGACTCTTTCTAATCGCTAATTACAAATATAATTAATTAATTATATGTATTCTTACCCTGTGTAGTACTTCCTCCAGTTCACAATAAGTGACCAGTTTTCTTTTAGCACGCCCATTAAGAAAATGCTAAATTCTATACAAAAATACCTAGTATGACTAAACTGCCCTTATTAAATATTGGTCACATAGTTATAGTGAGGAATGAAAAAACTTTTTAGGGATATGCACATAAGGGTAAAAGAGTAAAAACAAATTGAATTTTTTCTTGATTACCTAACTGGACACTTATTTTGAACCAAAATGAAAAAGTAAACTGGTCATTTATTGTGAACCGGAGGGAGTAATTGATGCACCTCTTAGAGTTAGTACAAGCACTCATCGAACACTGTGTCTTCACCTTTTTGTTTTGACATTTTTATGGCAAACAATATAATTTTCACCTTGAGGTTTGGTTTTAGGAAAGTAGACATTGTCGGAATGATATCTTAATATGTGTTTACCTTGCATAGGACATGTAACATGTCAACCTTGATTTTATCTTGTTAATCATGTTCTGATAATAGACTAAATGCTTTTGTGCAGGTTGTAGCTCTTCACAAGGGTCGGCTTTTACCTAAAAAATTGCAAGATCAAGGTATAGCGTATTAGAAGTTTTCTGTGAGGGGTAACTAAATAAGAGAATGGTTATAACTCGTCTATCTATTTACAAGGTTCTTCTGTTACCTAAGTGCTCGATCAATGTTCACCTCTAAAAATCCTAAAAGAGAATAGCTAAATAAAATCAGCTATTACTCATTTTTTCTTAAAGAATCTGAAAATAAAGCTTGCTGTTGAGATTGGAAACTCATACTTGGCTGCTGTTCCATGGTTAATAAGTCTCCTTCCTGAGTGAATGTTAAGTTAAGTGATTAAAAATGGATAGGGATTTTGGAAAAGGGATGATGGGAGAGCAAAATAACTTTGAACAAGCTCGTTATAGCTCTATAGAGACTAGAACTGAGGTCATTGGCTCTTCAAACCAGAGATTTTTCCAGGATTCATGCAGTTCTATCAGTACAGACATAAGACCACCTGATTTCATTGTACCAGTTGGAGCTAGACCTGTAAACTATTCCATTCAGACTGGCGAAGAGTTTGCTTTGGAATTTATGCGGGAAAGAGTTAACCCAAAGCAGAACCTCATTCCTCATGGTTCTGGGGGTACTACTGGAATTTCTCATACAGGTTCTGAAAGTGGATCAGATATTTCCATGATTGCCTCAGTTGAAAAATCTCGAGTTCAACATCACCAGAGGTCTAGTACTTCTATAAATGAAGGGATAAGCAACCACCAAGCTGTGCAAACTGGAACTAGAGCCTCATCAAGAAATAACAACGTCCATGGGATTCAAAGCCATATGTCTTCTAGATCTAGTACATCAACAAAGTTGAAGTTTCTGTGCAGTTTTGGTGGTAGAATTATCCCTCGTCCAAGTGATGGGAAACTCAGATATGTTGGAGGTGATACGCACCTCGTCCGTGTAAGCAAGGATATTTCTTGGGAGGAACTCAGGCAAAAGATGTTGACAATATTTAACAATTGTCACACAGTAAAATATCAGCTTCCTGGTGAGGATCTAGATGCATTAGTGTCAGTTTCTTGTGATGAAGACTTGCAGAATATGATAGAGGAATGTAATGTATTAGAAGGTGACGGATCACAAAAATTCCGGATATTTCTCTTTTCTAACAGTGACTTGGAAGATTCTCTTGTTGGTCTGGAAAATATTGAAGGAGATTCAGAGATGCAGTACGTTATTGCTGTCAATGGCATGGACTTTGGTTCGAGAAGAAACTCTGTTGCCCTGGCCAGCACTTCAGAAAATAACCTGGATGAGTTTCTGAGTGCAACAATTGCTGGGGTGAATGGTCAAGTTGCTAGGGATCTAGCGGAGGCTGATACTTCTGATCCAGTCATTGGCATGCCTCTAACAAATCAATCTGCTCATGTAGGGGTAGGGGTGTCAATTTCATCACATACCTTCAACTCCAATCAACCAGGATACTTGGGTCAAACTGTATATCATGGTGGCAATGAATGGCAACCTTTACCTTCCTCCATACCAGTTGACAGCTTCCGAGGTGTAGATGGCGAAAGCCTGGTTCTTCCATCTATGCAAGTGCGGTATAACCATGGTTATAATCCACCCAATATGCAAGTGCAGTACAACCATGGTTATCATCCACCCAACTCTTCACAAGTCACAGATAACTTTCCTGTAAGTTCGGGCCACGGTTATATGAATTTGAAAGGAGACGTGGCTCCCGAGCAGTCTTATCAGAGCTCACATATGAATAACTATGAGACACCTGCTACAGTAGTAAATCTGAAAAGAGACAACTCTTCTCGGAAGATGTTCGAACTTAGTAAAGATCAATCTCGAGAGAAGGAAGTGCTTGAGGAGGGAAAGATAAAGCTAGAAAGCTCTTTGCAGAAAATAAATGAGCCTGAAAAAATGTGTCCTTTGGAATGCGAAAGAGTTGTTTCCTCAAACCCACTGGACGATTCCACCTCATGTCACATTCCTAGAGTTGAAGTGTCGACCTTCACTGCTGTGGCAGTTGCTGCAAATTCTGGTACACAATCTAAAATCAATGACAAGAGTCAGGAACAAGTGCAGAGTTCAGCGTCTCCTGAAGCTGTTCAGGAAGAAAAACTTTATAGGTTTACTGAAGATGGCTTCTCCGGATCTGGTAGAACTTCAAATGCTGGCTATGGTGACTCGGAGACACATCCACTTGACTTTAGCTACGAACAATCATCAATTCCTTCACGGCCTTTTCGTTCTGAATGGATACCCAGGGAACAGCCCGGCCTTAATCGTTTATCTAGATCTGATGATTCATCTGCTTCGCAGTTCATAATGACCCATGCACACTCTGGAGGCACACAGCAGACCATAGAATCAGTAGATAAGTTGCACGATGGTAATGTGGCTCCCCAGACAGAGCATGTTATATCTTCTGGAAGATCTTTGTCTGCTAATCAACGTGCTACTGCAGAGAAAGGTGTAAAATTTCAGGAATCTCTAGAGTTCAGTGTCAGTGCCACAGAAATTTATACCAAGGGTGCTGGAGAAGTTTCTGAAGCAAATCTCAATAAGCCTGAGCTGAAAGCTGCAACATATGCAGATAAAGTGAAATCTGGACTAGGTGATCATATCACAAGCAGCAATGTCCAGGCTGAGTCTGCTTCTGGGCAGACAGAGCTTCATAGGGGTGATGCAGCTGCAAACAGAGCCGAGGGAAATAAAGCAGCAGAGCAAATACAGCCTTTGGCTGTGAAAGAGTGTCAGGTTGGAGCAGCTTCCACAGAGAGGCCCTCTGTTACTGTTGGCACAATTGAGCATGGGAGCATTCTTTTTGACATTAATGACCGCTTTCCCCGTGATTTTCTCGCTGATATATTTTCGAAAGCCAAACTTATGGATGCTTCACCAGTGCCTGTTCCACTACACACTGATGGAACTGGTTTGAGCTTGAATATGGAGAACCATGAACCAAAGCACTGGTCCTTTTTTCAAAAGATAGCTCAAGGTGATTTTGGTAGAAGAGATGTCTCTTTGATGGACCAGGATCATCTTAGTATGTCTTCTACCTGTGCAAATGTTGATGATGGGGTGTCTATGGTTTCTGGTTATCATCCTTTCCAGCGTGATGGAGCAATGATAGATCATATGGACTCTCAGCTCAATATTGAAGCTGAGTTCCAGCAACCATCACCTGAAATTGTTGGACCAGACACCATGGATTTACCTTCAGAGTACAAACCACTTACGTTCAAAGTATGCAGTATGATGGTGAATTGAGTTCAAAAATACCTGAATCGGGTTATCAGGTACTTTTTAGTAGTTGAGATTTCTAGCAGCATTATGTTGCTTCAATTTGAAATTATTGTTTTTTTAGCATATGATGAAGTAAAATTCTTTTATGTAACATGAAGGATGAGAACCAAGGAGCTCAGAATGCTGGCTTTCCCCTTACCAGTCTCTCGCTTGGAGACTTTGATCCTAGCTCCTTGCAGGTACTGTGAACTATTCTATTGGTGGTTGGGTATGAGTTTAAAAGATGCCTGAGAATCACAAAAAAGCACTAAGACTACTTTTGGATGGAAGTACTTGGAAGGAAGTGAAAGGAGACATTTCTTTTCCTTTCATACTCTCTACATTCCTTACATCCTATACTAACAAAGTTCCTTTTAAATAAAAGATTCTATACTTACAAAGTCTATGTCGAGTCTATGAATTTTCTTTATGAAGTCGAGATATAGAAAAGCTTTGAGTTTCTACTTCAAGGTGCTGAATATATCTGCACAAGTTTCATGGGACAACTTATAATTTTTCTGAATTGTTCCATTTTCTAAATCTAAATATATTAAGGGAAAGGGCCAAATATACCCCTCTCCTTTTGGATATTGTCTACATTTAACCTCCGTTATACTATCCGGCCAAATTTAGCCCTCTCCTTTTGGATATTGTCTACATTTAACCTCCTTTATACTATCCGGCCAAATTTAGCCCTCTCCTTTTGGATATTGTCTACATTTAACCTCCTTTATACTATCCGGCCAAATTTAGCCCTGCCATTATACTATCCAGTCAAATATATCCCTACCATCAACAAACTTTTAAAAATTACCCCTGATCTATTAAGTAATTCAAAATCTCCCAATTTCCTTTTATTTAAATCACTTTTTCCTTTTGCTCCATTATGTTCAGAAATTACTATTGATGTGAATGCTAAAGGTATTAGATTATACAAATTATTCATGGGTATTTTTAATTACCAATGCATCCACTTCTCTTCTTGTGATAACGATTTTGGGATTGAGTTAAAATTTTATTTATTTTTCAACCATATACACAATGTAGAATTCAGTGAGTCTATTTATTGTGTATTATATGCAGTTGATCATCATGTATGTACGTGTCTATTTATTGTGTATTATATGCAGTTGATCATTATTTATGTACATGTATATGCGAATATATTTTGTTATTGCCGGTTAGTATAGAGTTCGATCGACTAACTTAAGAGTGCACAATGTGTAGGCATTTGATTAAAGCAAAGTTGAATTTGACAATGTAAAGTCTCAAAGGAACTTCAACTTTTATCACTAATACTTGCAAAGTCTTTCATACCTTTGGTGCAACGAATTCATTAAAGTCGTTGTGTTGTAAATACTTTTGGAATTAGACAAGCTACCTAATTTAGATTCTTTAATTTGCTATACTTTGTTTACTAATCATTGTATTATTTTACTATTTCTTTCTCTTATTTTTTCCTAATTAAGAAAGCAGGTAAGTGTTATTATTTCGAAAATAATGAATTATGGATCACTTGACGGACTGAGGGGTAATTTTTAAAGTTTGCTGATGGTAGGGGTAAATTTGGCCGGACAGTATAACGGAGGTTAAATATAGACAATATACCAAAGTAGAGGGGTATATTTGGCCCTTTTAAATAGAGAAAGGTTTTGTAATTCTTCTTGATGTTCTGGACTTTTGTACAGATTTTTCTTAGGCCATCCACGCCATATACGCATCAGTCTGTTTCTGTCTTGTTGATATTGCCAAGTACTAGCCCCTGTACGGCTATACCTGGGCGAGGCTCTGACATCGCTTTTTCCTTTCGCTTTTCTTCTTCTGGTGTTGATGGTGGTGCTTGGTTGGGGGACGGAGGGTGGGGGCAGCTGGGGCCGGAGGAAGGATAAGTCGCCAGTGACATATGATGTAGTAGGTTTCTTATCCGTGCTTTCATTTTCTTAAGCAATAAAGGTAGTTCTAGTCGAGCCTTATTTTAGTGTAAAAGCAGCCTTTTCCCAAATTTCAAGAGAAAAGGTAGTATGATTTTTTTCCTTGCTTTCATTTTCTTAAGCAATAAAGGTAGCTTTAATCAAGCTTCATTTTAGTGTAGTCATTATTGCTTTAAGTTATGTTTTTTTCTCTTTTTTCTTGTGTGCACCCGGGGAAAAATT